GTGTTTTATTTCAAACTGCTCGTTTTCAATTTATTGGTGCATTAGTATTAATCGTAATGGAAAGCCTTAAGGTAATATTACTAGCCAGAGTTTTGGAACTCTAATGTATGTATGAATGTATATATGTATGTATGTATGTATGTATGTATGTATGTATGTATGTATGTATGTATGTATGTATGTATGTATGTATGTATGTATGTATGTATGTATGTATGTATGTATGTATGTATGTATGTATGTATGTATGTATGTATGTATGTATGTATGTATGTATGAATGTGTGTATGTATGTATGTATGTATGTATGTGTGTATGTATGTATGTATGTATGTATGTATGTATGTGTGTATGTATGTATGTATGTATGTATGAATGAATGAATGTATGTATATGTGTATGTATGTATGTATGTATTTATGTATAGGGGAAACCCTGGTCGCTCCGAACAACTTAGGTAAAAATAGATTATAGACATGTACTAACAGAAAAAAAAGTGTCAAGAAATTTTTTTAAAAGTATAAATATTTATCTATCGAATTAGAAACAAAAAAACAATTATTGATTGCCTAAATAATATACAAAACATAAAAGAAAAATGTTAGAAAAAAGGCATGTTTCAAAATTGGGTGAAAGCCCCAAGACACATAGTTTCACCATGATTTCGCCTCTTTTTTACCAGTCACAAATACAATATATAATTATTTAGCATTAGGCTATTCTCAACACATTTTAAAAAATTCGCTTTTAAAAGTTGTCTCTGATAAATAAAGAATGGGAATGAAAATGCCATCATTTAGAAATATAAATATTACCTTTTTACTAACAAAAATAAACACTTTTTTTTAAATGTAAGGTATTGGAATTAAATGAATTATTTTTATAGGTTTGTGTCTTGTATTAAATTTATTTATATTTATATGAAAAAGCTGTTAATTTTTAATATGTAAACGGATTAGGTTATCCGGAACCATCCTCCAAACATGTGTCCGATACAACCCGATCATACCTCATTCACAAATACAAGTTATAAAACCAATGAATTAAAGTATTTAACTAATTTTTTTTTAGAACTATTGTTATTAAAAATGTATCTTTATTCAATAAAAAGTTATTATTTTACATAAAAATTTGGTATATTAAAATATGAATCAAATATGATTATACATCGCTCTTCTGGTGGTAGGAAACAACATCTTGCACTCCAAGCCAATCGCTTCGGCATAGTATAATAGATATGTTTGCACTTAAGTAAAACAAGGATGATTTGCAAAAAAATTGCAATCATTGGAGTCTGGGAACAAAAAAGCCCTTAAATTTTGGCCACAACTGCCCCAAACAAGAGAGCAACAAGTTGATAAATATTTTTTATTCTATTTTTCAATAAGTTTATATTCATTGATAAATTCGAATTTCATACAATAATCTCTTATCTTTCAAAAAATATGACTATAGAAAGTTTGAACCCCCTCAATTTGAGGGGTTTACAATTTTTACAACAAACTATGTATGTGTATATATATATATATATATATATATATATATATATATATATATATATATATATATATATATATATATATATATATATATATATATATATATATATATATATAGAGAGAGAGAGAGAGAGAGAGAGAGAGAGAGAGAGAGAGTTGTTAAAAAGCCACAAACCGCTCTTTCTCCCCCTTCCTCCCTAGTGCATAACGTAATTTATGGACGACCCCTCGTGGGAAATCGTTGAATTGATAAAAAAAAGTCACATGTTAAAACAAATCAGTAAAATATAATAAACTTGACGATTTCATTGCAATACTCGTTATTATAGAGGTTTCACACATGAATAGTACGCTGGTTCAAGTCATGTTTCCCTAGGAAATAAAACTTTTTGAGTTTAAACTTTCCAGGAAATTAAGACTAGTACGATAAATTAATACTCTAAAAATCTCTTGAAATTGAAAGATCATTCCGCTACTAATCATATTTTCCCAGTGAATTACTTTTAAAGAACACCCGTTCAGTGAATTAGTTTTAAAGAACACCCGACTTCCAATTGTAAGAATTTTGTAAGAAATATTTTATCCAACTGATGATCAAAAGGTGTTTAAACCTTTGATAACCAGAATAGAATTGCAGATGTGTTGGGTGAAATAAAATGTTGTTTTTTTAACGATAAAAGCAATACGCTTTACTTTAACAATGGACAAATTAATCGCACAAGGTATTTTTCGTAATTTTTATTCAACGCAAATAAATTTGAAATTTAGCTCTAAACAATATACTAAAGTATTGAACGTATGAAAATAATATGTAAACTAAAATTAAGATTTTACTACAAAAATTTTAAGGAATAAAGTGAATAGCAAGTCAACGATTTTGTTAAGAATGAGAGACAGTTGTTGGGAGTTTTCGGAAAAAAGATTAATAAATCTGTAACTATAAGGAAAAATTTATTACCATCAGGAAACAAGTAAATCGTAAAATAAATCGTAAAACGCTTTATAAAAATAAAAAATCTATTTTTGAACCATAATATGAAAAATTTAGTTTTGTTGCTTCAAACATGGACAGGATAAATGAGCGTCTGGCAAGTTTTTTATATAGTGATTGCACATTTCATTCACAACAAACCGAGCATCAACGGGGGATTTTCCATATAACAAAATACTATCATAACCCAAAGCAAAGACACCACAATTAAAACTATCGGTCGGTTGACACATTCGTTCACCAGAAGATTTAATCTATCGATACCAGGAGTTTTTCAAAGGTGTCAAGATAAGCCGAGAAGATCTTCATTTTTTATAACCGATGACATATGATAGTTGGCTGGCTATTCCACTGGGTTTTCCAAAGATTTTTGTGAATTTTTGTGTACCTACAATATTTTAGTTGTTATTATAACTGGTAGGGTTTCAAAAAGGTTTCCACGTATCAATGTTTATCTTTGGAAGTAAGACAAGACCTATACCTTCAATTATGCAAAGTTGTTTTTGATCCGTCGATTTGATACTTGTGTAGGTCTCACACTTGTGTCCAAGGAAAAAATTTCCTGATTGTTGCACGATTGTCTGATGCACGATTCCAAAAAATAGTTGCTTCTTTATTTGATATTGATTTCAATTAGTCATCTTTAAATGTAGCGTTTAACTTAAACAATGTATATACTTTTAAGAGTCAATCCCAATGCATTTTTTAAAACCGCAACTCCTTTTTCATGCCGACACATTACCTCGTTCAAAAATTGAGCGATAGTTTGTACTGATTTGTCCTTGATCGGTTTGGCTTCCGAATATTTTGAAAAATAGTTAATCAAGACGATGATATATGACGATACCCATCGATCACTGGAGGGTTACATGTATCTACCTTAACTAGTTTAATAACACTTGATGTTATTTGTATTGGGTTCAATTCTACTATCGGAGACTTTAAGTCACCTTGTTTTCTTATCAAACGTAGTGTTTTTTCCTCTATGGGAGGAAATTCCTTTAGAGTGTTTAGAATCTCCATTGGTGCACATTTCTGATAATTTCGATTTAATGTTCTTTATCTTTGATAACTATTCTTTTATTATAAGTTAAATGTTCATTTTTCATTTCAAAGCGTTTTGCTGCTCTTCGAAAATTTGATTTACATCCATCATGTGTAGGTAAAGTAGAAAGAATTGTTTTATTTCTAAGATATTTTTCTATCACATCAAAATGTTTTCTTTCTTTTTCCATGAAGCAGTATTTGTGTGTTTATTTGTGAATATTGTTTGTTTATTTAAATAAAAAGTTACACAACGTTTTATTTTAGCAAGCATTTGCGCTCAAATCAGCTTTGCTTTACAATAGAAGGACTTCTTTGTACTTTTTCTTTGCTACTTGTATATCATACTTTTTAGTCCAAATTTACCGCTCATTTACCCGCTTTTTAGTCTTAATTTACGGCTTAATTTACCGGGAAATTATGACCCATGACGTCAAAATTTAAAAGGAAAACAAGACTTTGAAACCTTAATTTCTTGAGGTCTTAATTTCCCACTACGCCGGTGTGCCTAGTTCAATTCCTGCGCTTAATATTTATTTAAAATATGTTGGAATAATAAATTAAAATTTTTATTCGTAAATTTTATTAAAGTTTTTAATATTAAATTTTAATAAAAATTGCTCCTTAAATAGTAAATAGTATATTAGGAATTAACAGTTGTTGGGTTTTACCTATTAATTTCGTTTTTTACGCGTAATTAACTCTGCATTTATTAACTAAAATATTTATGCATACACACAATAAGTGTACATACTTCGACTGATTTATTTAGCTTTAGGCGCAGCAGAGTGTACATGAACTAACTTACTTATTTAGCTTTACGCGCCGAGGTTTCAATAAACTTTTGAATTCAGTTTCTTTTCTAGTTTATTGTTTATAAGTAAGCGGAATAATTTACGGTTATTTATATTAAATTGGAATTTGGGGGCCATCCATCGAGGACGTCATTCAAATAGGGGGGAAGGAGAGGTCGAGATAAAAAGGACAAAAAAGGACTAGGGGGAGGGTTGTCAGAAAAGGACGTCACTTTATAGTTTTTTTATTTTAGTTTAATTAACATGGAAAACTATGTGAATATTTGTTTTTAAGAAGATAATGTATGAGAATATTTTTAGTTTTATTTTTCAAAGGTGTAGCAGCAGATTCAAACAACATTGTGAGATGAAATAAATTTTTTTGGGTTTAAAAATAGGGGATAGGGGGTCAGGATTATGATACCTACCCCCTATGACATCCTTTTCAAAGGGGGTATAGGGAAAAAGGACAAGAGTGACAAAGGGGGAAGGGGGTAAAAAATTGGCTAAAAAATGGTGATGTCCTTTATGGATGGCCCCTTGACAGCCTTTTGTGAGACTAAAGATCGTCCATAAATGACGTCACGCTTAGGGAGGAGGGGTAGGCGATTTTGTGACGATTTGTTACTAGGGGGAAGGGATCTTAATTTTGTGACGCAACATTTTTTCTTTAGCATACTTAGCCGATGTGTACACTCTGTTAACGGTTACAGCCTTTTAACGGTTACAGCCTGTTAACGGAC